CTTATGGAAGATTCTGCTATGTCGTCATCGATTAATTTCTGTACTTGGTTATTGAATTCATGAGTTTGTGATTGAGGTAATCTGAAACTGCTTACTCAGGTTTTATTAGTTATTGGTAATGTTTGTGTATAGAATAGTTAGCTGTTAATTTTTCTTCTCGTTCTAGGCGGAAAATGTCTTAAAATTCGGTAAGTATATTTTTCAGCCTTTATTTAGCGTGCTCGTCTTCTTGATTAATGTTTATTGTTAGTGGAAGTTTAGAAACTCGGTCGTTGGAGTTACTGCTAATTCACTGTGTAGAGTAGTTTTGTAGTTTTGTTTGCATTTTTAGTTTTTGTAAAGTTATTGTTTTGTTGTGGTGTTCAATATTATAATATGAGAAGTGCTATTGCTTGGTGCTATTGAATTTGCTAAGTATACACTTTTTTGTAATTCTTTATTCAGAATTACTGAATCTGATTTCAAGTTCAGTTTTAGTGGGTGTATAATTTCTGGCTAGGAGGTATTGTAATAGTCATTGGGTTGTTAGTTTCCATAGATAAACCAATATTTCATAATTATTCCGTGTGTTGTTATGGGTAAGGATGGTTCTACAACGTGAAAGTTATGTGAGGATCTGGTCCAATTTGTCCTATTTGTAAATTTAATAGTGCGGGTCCTACAGAGTATAATTTTTCTAAAGTTGTGCCACTTAATTTGTAAATATCTGTCTTTATAAATTTTTTAATGTTATGCAATATATTTACTTTAATTAACGAGATTTTTGCTCCTATATCGATTAGCAACTTTATAAGTATGTTGTTGTCTGTTTTTAAAATTATGAAATGGGTATGTTTGTTTGATATGTTGAAAGTGTGAAATTCTATTTTACGCATCGATAATTGTGTTTTCCATCACCTGTGGTGACACGTTTCCCTGGTTCTGTATAATATTAACGTTTTTTCTGTTCATGTAGTTGCGGTTTCTGAGAAACGTGTTGTTGGTGTTGAATAGGGAATTGATTATGTCGGAAATTGTTATATCTAGTGAAGGTGTTTCTTCTGGGGAACTTTGAGTTGGTGTAATTCTGATAATGGGTTTGTTATCTGTGTTGGTGTTGATAATGTTGTTTATGTTGTTTTGATTGATATGTTGGCGTTGAAGTTTGGGGTTTGGTTATAGTTACCTTTTTGTAAGGCATTTTTCGAGTTTAATTACCAGGTCGATTGGTCGTACGAGGGTTTGTGGTTCTTCTGTATGAATATTAAACTTAAGGTTGAGTTAGAAACAACTCCTAACTCTCTGCAATTGCAGACGTTTTCCATGTGATGTCAATACAATAATAAGAGAACAATGTATTATACCACCCAAAAGGCACGGTCTTACGTTTATTTGAATTCAGCACCATACCATATGATTTCACAACATGTACACAGGTTTACAAAATCATACTGAAAAAGTTTAGTACAATCTATTGAGTCCAAAAAGAGGCAAAGTTTAACGTCGTCTGCAAACATTAAAACAAGTGAACGTTGAATACATTCAAGAGGTTCAATCACTTATAATATAAATAAAAATGGGCCGGGATGAGTGCCCTGAGGAACACCAGAAATGACAAAAATTACTCAATACTTACTCAACCACATCCGTTGGATGCGACCAGAGAGATAGCTGGTAAAGCATGCAATCATATCGCTCGGGAAACCAAGACGAAGTAATTTGCATACTAACAACCTATGATTCATTCTGCCGAAAGCTTTTGAAAAGTCCGCGAAGATAAGATCAGTTTGTTTGTGCTCGGAAAATGCTTTGTAAATTGTATTACAAAAGTCCGGAAAATTAGTGAAAGTTGATTTACTTTTCAAAAAATCTTGTTGAGATTGCGCAATATATGACCCTAAAACAGGGATAAGCGCTTTTGTTACCAGTGATTCAAGCAGTTTAGGCAGTGCACTAACTTTGGAAATTCCCTTATAATTCTCAATAAGTTTGATCCACTTTCAAAAAAAGGCAAAATAAAATCAATCTTCCAAACCGGTGGCGACTGACCTTTTTGAAATAAATGTTAAGAATATGTGAAAGTGTAGCAAAAAGTATATCACTGTCAACTATCGAAAGACCATTAGGAACAGGAAGGTTTAAAAGGTGACAATGCTATAAATATTTCTTCTTGGGAGAAGGACTGACATGGAAATATATAAAACAAGGTTATCTAATAAGGATATACGAAATATTCAAACACTTGTAGGCTTCTCCAAAATGGTCAGCTCTTACAAACGCATTGATTTTTCAAAGCCCGCCAGGTTTCCCTTAGAAAACTAGTGCCAGTTTGGCCTGTGGTATTATTCCTCGATAGAATCGATCAGTGACTATAGCCTGCGCGTACCTCTTGGGGAGAGGTGGAGGTAACCGCACTAGTACATAGACTTGTCCAATACTGTGAATCTTGTGGGATGCACTGGCTAATCAGCTCAGATGCCAACAATTAGACGTTATTAATCTAAATCGAGGTATGGAACCCAATTTTGAAAATATAATTGGGGAGGAGGTACTAAATCTCACTCCAGCCAGCAACTATCTAATTTCTCTACCTAGGGACGGCATGCATCCAGCGAGGTCTTATTATTGGACATCTACCTAGACGATATTTCGGCGAGGACGGCGTCATCGTAAACCTACAACGCGAAACAAATTAAACTTAAAACGCACCTGCTCGGCTGAAACACGCAAGAACCTTTCCAAGAAAGTAGCCCTCTAAAGACCGAAAACTCTAAAAGAACGTGTCTTGATGGAACCAGCGACTTCAAAACTGTGACCCTGTGGATGTTAATCTAATAGAAGAATTTAACAGGTCTAAGAAGTTCGGTAATTGGGCTATTCACAAGGAAGCTCTCGCTTTTAAAATCAGAGCTTGTAACCACCGCAATGGTATATGCACTTTGACAAAACTTCACAGAGATTACATAGGAAGTCACAAAGAAACTGGACGGCGTTTATTGGAAGCCGACTTTCCCGCATGTTTGTGCAATACTCATCCACGGAAGGTAAGGCACAAGTACTATTTTACCTATGAAAGCGACAAATTTACTATTACGGCCACTCATAAGATGAGTGGTGTCATTAAGAAAGTAACAGAAGCCAAGCAAGTGGGCTTCTTTGACTCCTTTGATATACGGCCCTGGAGAGAGCCCTGAAAGGAGAAACATTCCAAACCTGATGATAAAACGGATAATCAATGTGCTGAATTCCAGGCTCATAAGCTCAAAGCATAACTTCGTTGACATAAAAGTCTCTAAAGAGTGCCCTCAAGCGGGGGGCATAAGCGATCTGCTAATAAATGAAAAGGAATCGGAATTGAAAACGCTGGGTTTTGCAAATTATCTGGCGATTTCCGTGGTGAGTTGACACAGACAACCACTAAATGAACCCATGGAAAATGTTCTGAGACTAGCCCGCAAATTGCGCCAGGGCAAACAATCATACACCAAGCAACAAAGTAAGGCCTTGGTTCTATTCTCGAGAGGAGAAAAGTGATAATGAACAACGACTACTTAAATGACGTTGTAATGAACCATTCATAAGCACTGATATACCTTATATTTAAAATTCAACAAAATCCTTTCGTGAACCTTTCATGTGAAACAGTTTATCAAGAGAAAGACCAGAGACTTTTTGTATGTTAAAGAGGTATATACATACGGCAAAACATGGGATATACGCCCAAAAATAATTTACGGATCTTATATCGCTACTATCCTCTCTATGCTAACCTTTACAGCCCTAGCTTGGCAGCTTAAGGTAAAGCGAAAAACCACGACGATGACTCCAAACAAAGTCCAGACTCTCGCTTAAATCAGGATGACTGCGGCGACGAGATGTCCCTTCAATGCCTTAGCAGTGCGGCAGGGTATGACACGGCTCCCTGCAAGCATAGTAAGGGAAGCTTGCCTGAACGTGCTCGAACTGTCGAATATCGACAAACCCGGAAATCTCGTCATCCACTTAAATGTGCTGAAGAATTTTATGGACGAACCTTTTTTCGAGATGCCGTTTCATTGCGTCGCAATGCCAAAACTATCGTATCGATTCAGAGTGAATGAGTAGAGTGGAACAGAAATATGATAACCAGACGGTTCAAAACTGAAAAATGAAAAGCGTCTCGCATTAAAAGCGAAATTTTTAAGTTCAGATATGTGCGGTTCCATACACCTATCGTTGTGACATATTGTATTTATTTAGAGATAAAATACAAGCTTTCGTCGAAAGATTGGTAGCAAACCAAAAATTCCGTTGTAACTTAAGTCCTACTAGATAACACTTGCTTAATACGGTGGTAGTGGGACTGGGTTCAATAACGACTCATAAGAAAAAGATCATATATATGACGACGGCACTAAATGTTTGATTAATAGAACACGTCCAAGAAAGACTCCATGAAAAACCCGACTTTTCACTTTTATAAACAAGTCATGCATTGTACTCCATTATTTTCCATACATATGGAAGTCAGCCAAGTTACACGCAACTCTAAGATAAACTATCAAACTGTGTCAGCGGATATCGACTGTTTAATGAATCTTCTAGCCAAGATATTTGAAATAGTTATTAAAGTTAAGTGAGAGAGAATTTTAGAGCCAAAAATTATTCCAAATGAAAAATTTGTGTTTAGATGTCAGCGTAACCAACTAGTGCGCATATGCAGTGTTGAAAAAGCTTTTGGCTCAAGAGTTTTGTTTTTAAAATGATATTCTTATTTATTTATTAGGCGATTGCGCGTACTTTGACAGGCGGTTTCTACAGCTAACAATAAGAAAGAAATGGGAAATACCAGCGTACATAACGATTACAGTCGACGGTTTGACCTTTCCCGACATAAAATAATAGTTTTCCACTTAATATTTTTGAGTTATTGAGCGTATGCCGACGCTAATCGCATGGAGCGTTCAAAATTGAATTTTCCACCTTCATTACTTTTGTTGTTTCTTTGAAGAAATCCACTGATGGACACGTTCAGAAGTTTATGGTGACACCGCTTCATCATATCCCAATTGCCGGGTTTGGGTTCAACGGTTTGAAAGTGGTGACACGAATTGACTGAAAATAACATTTTTTAGCCACTTGTTGCAAGAATTGTCAAAGATATACTGTTGTAGTTCCAATGGGAAGTTCTGTCACGCCCAGCGTACTCGTCAGACGTGGCACATTCTGATTAACGTTTGTTCAGGTCGATGCAGCATGGCTTGGCTGCCATGCAACTTCGCAATGTTGAAAAAGTTAAAAAATGGCCTGATGATCGAATCATTGCCGAACCAATATAAGGTCCTTCGACAGGATGTCGCCATGTTGCCAAAAATATGCTAAAATGTGGAAGAAAACGATGGAAAATATTTTGACTTCTATATATTGTACCAATATGTCTGTGTTACGCAACAATTTAATTATTGTGAGTGTTTATGTGTTTCTATTGTTGATTAATAAAATGTGATGTGGGTAAAATGACCATTGGAATTTTGGAGTCTTTCATTGGTGCTCAAGACACCTAACACGTTGATATGATTCGACCAGACGTAACGTTTACTTGTACGTAACGGTCCAACTTGTTTTAATTTATTGTTCCAGCTCTTGAACTTTAAGAAACTCAATAAAAGGAATGATCAATGAATGTAGTTTCATAAAGACAAAGCTTTATTGCTAAAAGTAAATTGTAAATTACAAGTTCCATAAACTAGTGTAGAACTATTTTGATACGTACTACAATGAAAAAATATTATAAAAATGATGCACTTGGTGTTTTGCGTTTATTTACTTCCAAATATATGAACAGTTTGAAGTGGGCCACAAAATGAAATATAAGCAAATTAATATAAACAACTACGACATACTTCACAGGTCTGGATTATGTAACTGGTGGTATTGTTGTCTATGGTCAGTTATAACAAAACAGAGAAACACAGAAACATGATTATGCAAATGCAAGTGCATGAACAATCGAACATCGTTTTGTTAATGAGTGCATAAGCATGAATTTGCAACTGAAAGATACAAAATTGAATGAAAGTATATAATTAAACTAAACAACATGCGTAGTGTGCATAATCAAAAAGTGCTTATTCTACACTACAATACACTAAATTTTGATAAAGTGATTACCTATTTACTGCAATCTTTTTGTTCAACAATATATTTCTATGAAGTATTGTGTATGTTTTCAGTTTTGTATTTAATTGATTGTTTTGAATCTGAGGGTTTAAGATTCCCTTAACATACATTTATGTTTATTTAATATAATTTTTTTGTTCACTGTAGTGTATATTACTAATTAAGCACTTTTTTGTTGACGTTTCCATTGGTCAAGCAGTGCATTTTTGTCAAAAGGCTTTTTTGCATACTTGCACTTCTGTTATGTACATTCATCTAGTTGGTCAAAACCATTAATTTTATATAACACTATATTTTAGTTATTTTGCATTATCTAATTCTTTTTTTTTTAATTATGGTTGTAGTATGTATATAAAAACAAATTTTCCGGTTTTAAATGTCGGAATATACTTTATCAAACCCTTAGTAGTTAGCATTGGTTGATGCGTATGTGTTACACAAATTACCTAAAGATAAGTAAATTTCCTAAATATTCTATTGAGAATTAGCATTTGGTGACCCCGGCATAATTTTCTGACCCGCGCCCTCTAATTCGGGTAATCTTGATTCACATTCCAGTTAGCGTCACGACTTCAGCGCGCGATGCCAAAATTTTCCAAAAGGCCATTATTAAATACAAGAAGGCTTCATGAGATCGAAAGATGTTTAAATAGCTTCGAAGGAAGCGAAGGAACATCGAAGATCTTTGCGGAATAATTGTAAAGTGTGATAATGCCATCAGAACGCATCCAAATAAGTCAAAAACATATCCGTATTATCTGAGAAACGTTCACGATCTCCTAGTTGAAAAACTCACTGATGACATAGAAACAAGCACCAACACATTGAACATCTGGTACTGAGTAGGAAATCCCAGGCGCAAATAGTGTTGATTCACAGCTTCTATATGCACTGTGTGATTATCCGCCCACTCCAAGACAAGAACATTGGTGCAGAAACAACAACAATTAGTACGAACTGTTAATGGCATGTTAGCTAAAATACATAAGGATGACACACCACATCCTTGTCAGTGTCTTTCAGGCAAGGTTTAAAAAATAAATTGGCACTTAGGTACTTGGCAATGGTTGCATGATCAATTGATGAAATGCACAGGCACTAGGCAACTTACGACATTGAGCAATATTTTCAAGGTCAAGAAACAATAATGGAACAGCTGACTGAGAAACGACAGTGCATGTCACCCCACAAACTGAAAACAGTTTGAAGACCTGCTCACGGAAATGGTACACAAAAGACCATTACCAACAGTGCAAAAATTGTGGCATCTAATCGTCAATCTCATCGGTGAAGCAGAGTCGCTTATTCTACACTTGCCGATTACAGAAAAAAATTATGTTCTCATCTGGGAGATACTACAGGAACACTGCAACAATCAGTGATTATTTGTAAATGCCATAATTGACGTGCACTAAAAAAGAACTATGTTGAATCACCCTCAGTTACATATCAAATAGTAATTCACGACAAAACGAAGGAGTCATTTTTGGCCTTATACAGCTCAAGAATTGAAGCGCATTTCTGGTATCCCACCTTGACGGATATGTTAACTAAAAAGATTTTTTAACTCTGGCAACTCTCACGCAATTCAAGTATATTTTGATCGCTGCAATAAGATTTATGTAAAATAAACAGATTTGTTAAAAGTATATTAACAAAATTTAACGTAAAGAAAACTTAAAAAAAAAAAACTTCATTAAATCTAAATGTTCGCGAAAGAATATAAACTAGCGGAAGTACAAAAAAAATGAAACTTTCAGAAAATAAAAATAAATAACGCAGTTATTTTATACTCAACAACAATAACGACAACAGTAAAAAGTGCAGACAATGAGGCACTAAGGCTCAATGTGTTAATTAGCCGAAACTATTTCATCGAAGATAAATTTTTTTTACAACAAATGGAAAATTGTTCTGTAAAGGTTCTGTTTTCTGTCAAACTTGTTGCATTTTAAGAGAAATTGTATTAAAGTAAAACCAGAACAGAAAAACAGAATTTTTAAGCACACGTGCACTAGTTGCGGTAAAGCGTGGAGGTGGCGTTTTCTTGCAAATTAAAAATGGTTAGTCATGCCTATTCTCTCGAAGGTTTTTGAACATATAATTAAAGAAGGCGAGTCAACAGCACCATTTATTACTTTGATTACAAAGGAGACGCCAAGAACAAACCTACGTTTCTCAAAAGACGGTAAGGACAGCAGAAGCAACCTACTTTCATTGGGAGGAAGAGAGCCAATCGGATCCCAACCCAAATTTCTAAGAGCAAACAGCAAGAATTGATTGTGAACAGTTTCAATTGAATCTACATAGCACTTATATGAAGGAGACCACACAACAGAGGCATACTCGAGTATGGGTCTAAGCAAACACATGTACAGTCTTTTCGTAATGTAGGGATCATCAAGCTCTTTGGACCACCTTTTTATAAAACCAAGCGCCGACCTAGCTTTGCTTATCGAGAGCTCAATATGCAAGTTGAAACGTAACCTATGGTCAAATGGAACGCCTAAATCTGTAATCGAATCGACGTCCTCCAACTTATGCGAATCTATGAAATACTGATTAATGAATGACTTTCTTCTTGAGAAAGAAACGTTCTTACATTTACTCAAATTTAATTTAAGAAGATTCACAAAGCACCATGCAACAAAATTATCCAAATCACCTTGAAGCTGATGTGATTGGGATTCAACAGAGAAGGAGGAAAACAGTTTTACACAGCATACATTAAGATCTGACTGGAATTAACCACCGATGGAAGATCGTTAATGTATAAACTAAATAAAATGGGACCTAAGCGGCTGCCTTGAGGTACGCCAGATATAACGGGGAATTCATCCGAGGTGATAAAGTTGAACAAAACCCTGAAGGATCTATTGTGCAGATAAGAGCTTATCCATTTCACTAAATAAAAAGGGAAGCCAGAGGTTTGGAGTTTAAAGATAAGTAAGTTATGGTTAACCATATCAAACGCTTTGCTTAAATCAGTGTATATCACATCTGTGCGAGAGCCACTAGAAAAAGCCTTGAAAACGTGACAAGTAAACTCTAACAAGTTAGTGACTGTAGATCGCCCTTTCCGAAAGCCGTGCTGGTGCGGAGAAATGTACGAATTAATGGCGAAGGCCAAATGCTGAGTCACAATTCGCTCGAAGAACTTGGGCAAGACACTGAACTTGGCTATGCCTCTATAGTTCTCAAAAAATTAAATATTTCCACTCTTGTGGATAGGAATAAGAAAACTACTCTTCCAACACGAAGGGAAAACACCTAAATTCAAGGACAGGTTAAAAATCTTTGAGATCACACCACACAAGGTGCAAGTTTTAAGTACACATGACGGAATTCCATCATGTCCTGACTCACAACAATATTTTAGAGAACTCAACCCTTTAAAAACGTCATCTTCCGAAATAACCAAGTTAGGTATTGAAACCGAGTTAGTTATAGGATATGGGTAGTTTGCTGATAAATCGAAATTAGGAATCGAAAAGTTACGTCGGAAATACTCAGCAAATAGATTTGAGATTTCAAAATCATCCGAGGAAACAGAGCCATTAAAAGAAACATGAAAGGGATATGTGGAAATTTTTCTTTTAGAGTTAACAAATTTAAAAAAGAATTTAGGATTAGCAAACAGAGAAGATTTAATGAACTGAAGGTATATGCAGTAATAATGATGGTTGAGGAAGTTAAATCTATGCCTCGCCACCGAGTAAGCGACATAGTCGAGCGCAGAGCCACTTTTCGAATATTTTTTGAATAGCGAGTTTTTTCTATTCTTGTTATATTTAATTGTCTTATTAAACCACGGAGGACACCTGCTTCGAGGTCGACAATGCTTGATCGGAACAGATGCAACAATAGCTAGATTTAATGTATTGTAGAATGTGAAAGACGGTGTTTTAGTAATACAATATTGATTTTATGAAAATCATAATAATTATTTAAAAAAGTTTGACTTGGCACATTAAGGCAATTCAACAAACCATCATTCATATGATGAAAGGAAATGCATATTGATGGATGATAAGGATCCTCAGGTAAACTTAAAGGTGGACAACGATTTACGTAAATCTCGGGAAAATTGGCAAAGCAGAGATCAAGCAGTCTACCATTACAATTAGGGGTACGATTATATTGACCCAAATTATGATCAAACAATTCACTAAAGAACACAACAGCCCTATCAGACGTTGAAGTAGGAACCAAACAGTCAGAATTATCAGTGCTACACCAAGTGACTTGAGGCAAATTGAAATCACCCAATGCAACGACCAAACCAGCAAACCTGACAATTCTTATGGGATGAAGTACTACCAGATAATCTTCAACATAGATGGACAAGATTTCGAGGTATATCCCGATTTATATTAGATAAAGGCAACTACACAACTCCACACTTTTGTTGACGCTTCTGAAAGGGCATATGAAGCAGCAGTCTTCACTAGATCAAAGGACAATATCAGAGTAACAAGAGTGCTAAATCCCGCATCAAAAACTCAAATAATTCCACAGTTGGAAATGTGCGTTGCACTCCTAGGCGCACAACTGATATCAAGAGTGAAAACGAATTTGAATTTGATTGACACTATTTATCGTCAGATTCCTAAGTCGTATTAGCATGGATGAACTCCTCCTCCATCAGGATGATTTCAAACATTTTTAGCCAACAGGATAGCTAGAATCCACGAATTGTCAAATTGTGAGATCAAGTGATAACCCAGCTGATCTACTACCTTGGGGTTTAATGTCATTAAATTAATAAAAAAGGAATTTTGGTTTTATGATCCCATGTTTTTTCATCAACCAAGTACCGCATGGCCACAATGCCTTTAATAAAACCAGTTATTCACTGCACAAAACTAATTTTCTAACATTAGTTTTGATTTCACTGCTAAGATTATACGATCCTGGTTATATAAGCGATTTAGCTTTGATATTTCGTCGCCCGTTTTTATCAAACAACCTCTTGTTCCAAGGCTGAGCCATGGTTCAACAGAGTTTTTAAGTACAACAAAAATAAGAAAAACTGCCTATTTAATGAGTAATATGCTTATGATTGTTTAAAATACGCTACGTTTGAAGGTAAATTTA